AAGGTAAACAGCATTGTGTGCAATCATGCTGGCCACATGATCACAGAGCAGACAACGCTGGTTCGTTGGCTTAGTAGTGGAGATGAGCATTGCCCCCTATAGTTGGACATGACTTGACCTTGTCAACAGTTAATACCTTTACCTTTACTTTATGATGGCATAATCCTATGGACAATGACTTGACCTTGTCAACAGTTAATACCTTTACCTTTACTTTATGATGGCATAATCCTATGTACAATTAGAAAAGTCTATATCCACTAAAATCAAGGGTCTTTGACCAGTAATGGGCAATTCTAGAGTGTTAGGCTTCATTTTTCCCCACACCTCTGGACCATAAAGATCCTGCACAAGTCCTTCCTGCAAAAGCATTTTCATTGGGTTTTTTTTTTAAAAAAAATGAGGATTTGCCAAAATATTAGAGAATTGTATCTCCTGAAATATTCTAGAGACCTAATTCTAAAATATGGCAAAAAACAGCACAAAAGGGGAGATATAAGGGGAACAGGTCATGGGGTTCATGGGGCTAAGGCTGCAGGACAGCCATCCCTGCCTTATCTTTCTCCTCTGCATGTATTGCGACTCCATTATTGAAATTATTCTGGATCAGTTTCAATCTGTGAGTACTGATGACATGGACAAGCTTCTTGGTAGAGTGAGGAAAACAACTTGCCGTCTCGATCCTTGCCCTTCATGGCTGGCAGTCCAGGGGCGGGGATGTTTTGAGGATTTTCCTTACAGACATCATCAATGCATCCCTCAGGGAAGGTTATATTCCATCTTATTTGAAGGAGGTGGCCATTAGGCCACTTCTGAAAAAAACCTTCCCTGGACTCCCTGGATATGAACAACTATAGGCCAGTCTCCTTATTACCATTCTTAAGCAAGGTAATCGAGAGGGCGGTTGCTCTTCAACGCCAAGCTGTCTTGGATGAAACTGATTTCTAGACCCATTTCAAACTGGCTTCAAGACAGGCTTTGGGGTTGAGACTGCCATGGTTGCCTTGACCGATGGTCTGAGCATCGACAGGGCTACTGTGACCCTGTTGGTGCTCTTAGACCTCTCAGTGGCTTTTGACATGACAGACCATGGCATCCTCTTTGATCGCCTGAGGGGGCTGGGAATTGGAGGCACTGCACTGCAGTGATTCCATTCCTTCCTCTCGGGCAGATCCCAGAGGGTGCTGCTTGAGG